AATTTATACCTTGAGCCAATCTGACTGAATCAATTTCTCTCCACCCATTCCTTCTCTCCAGGGGCTCTTTTCTCACAAAGCTGCCTGAACGGGGCCCATAATCCTGTTACCACACACGTGCTTTCCTTTTTTTTCGATGGCCCAGAGAGGATTTGCATTCTACGCCCTAATGGGTGCTATTCTGTTGCACACCGCAGTGACTCGATAGAACTGTTGCCCTCTAGAACTGATGAACTGAGAGGTTTCAGGTGGAGGCAACGCCATCAGGGACTGAACCCACCCTGCACTAGTCCAAATCGCAGAAAATGTGCTCACTCTACAGTATTTTGCTTATAGCCATGACCTATTTCCAAGAGCTCAGATAAGCCCGCAGTTCTCACATGGCAAGAGGTCATGGCAATTAGGGAATGCCAAGTTAAAGAATTCAGAAGGTTGAGTTTTCTTAGCTGTGCAATCCACTAGCATCCACACTCAGGCTTTTCAGAAATCATAGCCATGTTAATGATTTAACTAAACTGGTTAAAACGGGGACACCTATGAACACTATCACTCAGGCCTCTTCCCTTAAACTACTCCCATATCGCAGCTTAGAAATTATACTTTTTGGACCAAAATTCCCATCATCCTCCCAGCCACTAGTCAGCCTGCCTGAGAGATTCTGGGGGTTTTGGTCCCCAAAACAGTCACTTTTCCATAATTTTTCAAAGGAGAAGTGATGGTTGGAGGACCAGCAACTACTCTAGCAAGATTATTTACCTCAGTCAGAAATTTTATATATATAAAACTTAAATAAAGTCACTAGACTGAACACTAGCCTAAATACTCCATTTCCTAAATAATCACAGTTACTTTTCACTGGTTCTATTACAAAAAAAAACCCTGTGAACTCATCTGAACATCCTAGTACAGGTTGTTGTTACAAACAAACAAACAAACTGGATGACTCAGCTGGATTTTTCACCAAAGCTTACTATATATGGGGACACAGATTATGTTGAAAATTTGACCCATGGACATGAAACACTGCCAAGGCTTCCCAAGGCTGTTCAGCTAAATATAGTTGGATATGTTCAGAGCTAGAAATAACTCTTGATCAATCAGTCCTATCAATGCAGAGCATTATAACTTGATAGGAGGGCAGTGACAGTGAAGGTTCTTCTAAAATTCCCTTTCCTGTGGACAAGGAATGTTGTGGATGTGAAGACTGAGAGTGGCACATAAAGAAAAGAACTCAACAAAATAATTAACAAATATAAATTTAAAATATAATAAATCAGGCAGCGTCTACTTTCTTTGTCCATCCCCCCGCCCCCATGTGCTCCTGTCTCTTTCATCCACTACTTTCCATTCTGCTGCTTCATTCACATCGGAATGTACAACTGGGAATGGGGGTATTTCTTGTATAAAGGAAATTCTAGCTGATTGGTATATGCTAGCATGTGAAAGAAAGACTACAATGTTTTCGTTAGGAATTCAGTGTAAATCACTGATGAGATAACATCATCCCCACATACCCTTAATACTCAAACACACACACACACACACCCCAAACAACCTGCAGAAACAATTCCTATGAGTGAGGGTGCAATTACACAACAGGAAAAATCCAGATGGATCTGTTGTGAATTTCCATGTGAGAAGCTGAGTTTCCCTGGGTGAATTTGCTTTAACAGACCAAGTTGCCAATAAATTGTTTGCAACTTGTTAAGGCAGTTTCTGTTGTTGCTGTCTGTATTTTTCAGGGGGCATGGCTACAGCAAGGCTTTCTTAAGCTGCAAAGGTGCTGATTAGAAATTTCCTCCTTTCTCTCTCTCTCTCTCTCTCTCTCTCTCTCTCCTCTCTCGTGTGCATTGGGGCTCTAGCATAGCTTTGTTTGAGCACTGAAACCAAATATTTTAAACCAAAAAGCAGTTCCCTGCTTTTACCAAAAAAATGTTACATTCCATCAGGATCACGTTCACATGAGTATCAACTCAAAATGCTTCAACACAGAAACCTTCTACAGTACCTCCATTTTCTTTACAAAAGGAGAGAGCTATATGGTGTAGGAGAGAGATATATGGCGTAGATGTGGCAGCTTGGAAGCCGGGGGGGCAGGGAATCAACATTTTTAAAAGCCAAGATGTTTAATTTGGAGATAAGTTTCTGCATCAGCACAAGTTATTACACTGCCTTAACTGATATGAATACATTCACATGCAAAAATGTAGAAGCCCCTACGCTGGAGGAAAAAATGCAGATTGGCAGGGAATACTCTAGGCCATTGACTTGTACATCATATATTCAATGGTAAATAATATAAATTTCACCATCCCAATCCTGGAAAAATTCCCATATTATTTGTAAATGTATTTGGCCCTTAAGAAAAGCTCCAAAGGGTTAGTTGGGGAATTCTGAGAATTGCAGAGTTGTCCAACATATCTGGAAGGTACCAGATTGTGAAAGGATGTTCTTGGCAAACAATATAGGCTCTTCAACCTGCTATTTTTAACATGCTCTTCTCAATCCCACTGAGTCAACGAGACCACCTCCCAAAAAACTGCATAGGATTATAGCCACAAGAAATCAGCGTAACCAAGAAATCATATTTCAGCTTTATATATAAGTTAAGACGTAACTTTGGCCGTGGGTCATCCTAAGAACTGGAGACTTGTAGCTCCCTTGAAAGAGACTGGAAAATACTTGGCACTCATCTCTGTGATGAGAACGTTGCATCTTTAGCATTCCACAAGGAAGCCACAGCCTTGAGTTTGCAAGAGCTGAGCTGAGCTACTAACGATAGGACATTTTGAAGATCACGTGTTCACAGATTCACCATTAGCCAGAGGCAACCTGATAGCACATAACAACATCTTTATCATACAAATCTCAACTTACCAGAACAAGAGTGTATTACCCAGAATGCTGTCTCACATATGTTAAATCAAAAGTAAATCCCACTATGTTTAACAGAATTTACTCCCTAGTAAGCAATTAACTTAAAACAAACACAGTTATTTCCACAGTTGTACCCCTCTACAGTCACCATATTTGAGGGATGAGTACAACAAGGTCTTTTGGTCTTTGAAAGGAAAAAAATTGGCCAGTGTAATAAAACCATTACCCAATGTGTTTCCAGACAACATACAAGGAACTGTTTATTACATAAAACCTATTTAACCTCACACCAGGCTATTTGAAATACCATATTCTTGGCAAAGAGAAGACTTTCCTTGGGGGCATGTTTTATGGGGACAACAGACAATCTTCCTGTTGGCCACTTCAATGCTTTGGAAACTCCCAACCAAGGAAGGCTAGAACCAAAATTATAAGAGGTTCATATTGTTCATAAACGTAAGGCTGACACTTATCTCATACTAATGATTTACCTGCCTTGATTTCTCATATGCCTCACATTCAACTTGTAAATTATAATCCTTGTATCTTGAGTTTGTCATTAATTATGTGTTTTTATTTTAACTTGGTTTGTTCTATTTACTGTAAACTGCCCAGAATAGTTCATGCACTACTGTAGTGGTATACAAATTTAATCAATTGATCAATCAATCAATCATGAGACAATCTTTTCATTAATATTATTTGAAAGAGGCTGCAAATATGACATATGGACAAACATTGCTGTCATGTTGCCCCACATCCCACAAAGAGTTGTACGTGGTTTAATTGTATCAGCCTAAATGCAACCATAGTATTACTCTCAGTTATATTAGCGTGGTGACCTACCCACCAAGTTTGAAATTTTGAAGTTTCACACTGGAACGAAAAGGATAATTTCCCATTGCCATAAATTTCCCCAAATGGCAAATTTTGTCCTTGTTTTTAAAAAGGCACTCTTATTCTCATTCCTGAGATATTTTAAATTGGACTTAATATTAACCTTAACCAGTGGTTTCCTCCAGAAAGATTATTATCTGTCACAAGTTGTTTCTCCATTTTAAGTGAAATGGCATATGATAAAATGCTGAATCCCATGCCTTTAAAACAAAACGAGGTAAAGGAGGCTTAAATTGAGGGCTGGAGAAGGGAAAAGCAACTGCTTAAATTATTTGATTTATATGGTTTTCACTTAGAACTGTCCCTTCCACCAGGTGGGTTTCTTTTCCTAGCAAAAGAAAGCAAGTGCCTATTTTTTTCCTCTACAGGTAGCAAGTTTTGAACAACAAAACAGCTGTAGAGAAAGGGGATAATTAGTCCCAGCCCCATCAATCTTTCTTTAGGACTACAGCATCTCACAACTGTTTCTGTTGTTGTTTTTTAAAAGGGGAAGAGGGGATATATGAGACTACATGTCACATGTACTTAAGCTTTGGACTTCAGTCTGTTCAGTCTACAATTGTAAGCTACTGAGCACTACTTAGTGATGGTGAGGGTGGGTTATAAATATTATCAATATTAAAATTTTAAATAATTCTTACAATTCCTACCATACTTTTTGAACTTGTTCCTACATATTCTGTCCAGTGCTATTTCCTTCTGAGTGCTAAGCAGTGGTCTCAGTCAACCAACAAAGGGTACTGCATAACTCACCAGACAGTTCTATATGTCTCTTTGGAGGTTCATTGGATTTTATAAATCTTTCTCCTAAGAATTTTTATTCATTTCAGATTGTAGCCTCAGGCCCCATTCCTTTGACAATTCACAACTGGATGCCAGATTCTGGATTACTGCTTCCAAAATACATGGCTTCTACTGTTTTCTAAAAAGTAGTTACATAAAGGAAAGGCTCCCAAAAGAATTATAATCTGAGCCTTCACCCACTTCAGGAATGTTGTTAATATCATGTACTGGATTAAGGTTATGGTCTACACTATGACCTCCATGACAAGCTTGGGCTTGTAATTTTTTACCCACAGGTCAGTTGGTATTATGTTGTCTAGTGACGGTCTCACAGGTGACTACCTATTCATACATTCAGCAGAGAAAAGCAGATCCACCTCCCCCTGCAAACAAGCATGGGCCATATAGCCTATCCACCCATAAGAAAGAGTACTTCTACTTACCCATGGCTCTCAAGCCAATTTCAGGCCCTTCAGCAGGGTTAGTCTGCTGCACCTCAGATGCATGCTGCTCCTCTTTAGAGAGGCTGCTCCTCTCTTTGTCGCCCTGTCGTCTGGTATCAAAGAAAGCACATGAAGTCAGTGACTCTATTATATCTGTAGAACTACCTGGGAAAATGCATAGAAATTGCTTGTGGTTCAATCCCTTGTCTAGCCAGTGTACGGACTTTCAAGAAGCTCCTTCTAGACTCAAGGCACTGACTTCCTTGTCCAAGGTGACAACTCACATGATCTCACAGCTATACTGAATATTTGAGCTAAATGCAGCTGCACTGGGCTTGAGATGTGCAAAACAGGCATGAAACTGATGCATCATGAAACTCCAGGTTATAATTCAACACAACTCACTTTTAGCGGGTTGACCCATGAAAGCATCTACAAATTGGCCAAAATCCGTTCCATTTAAGCAAAAGATGGTACTTTTGGAAGCAAATAGTAATAAGTTAAGAAATATCTATAGACAGGTTGCATACCAAGTCACATGACTCAGCATACAGCAAATAATATCTATGAAGATTATTTAATGTATGGCATTTATATTTATTTATCTACAGGTATTTATCTATTCATCTATTTATCTATTTATATATTTGTTTGTCCTGAACTCTGGAATGATTGAGGACAAATCTAGCCCTTCCTCTGCATGACAACCTTTAAAGTATTTGAAGATTGCTATCATATCTCTCTCAGTCTACTTTTCTGAAGGCTAAACATGTCCAGATCTTTCAGTCTTTACAACCCACTCTCAGAGGCCCTATCTTTTTACACTTACACTTACCGATAATGGAAGGGAGCAACAGTGGCCATGATGGGATGGCTGTGCTGTGACACAGAAGAAAAACTGATCGGACCAGTGTGCAGAGCAGGGCCCTTATTAAGGTTGCTTGTGTCCAGCGAGATCACTTGAGGTTTATCTTCTGGCTTGGATGCGCCACTTCCTTTCCAGCTGGTCTCAGAAACCCATTGGCCTTTCACTGGGCAGCTCTGAGGCCTCTTTGTGGTTGGTCCCTCTGAAGATTTGGACAACAAAGTCTCACTATACAGGCTAAGATATGAAGGGCTCTTCCCTGGGAGGTGAGAGGCTTTTGCAGGTTCAGAAACTGTGGTGGGCTTCCCGAGACCCTTCTTGGTGCCAAGGCTGTTATTATCTTCTGCTTGTTTTACTCTTTCTGTTGCTTGTATGACAGCTTTCTTAGCTGAGCTGGCAGTTCTGGAACTGACCTTCTGCACTCCCCGGGGGCTACTGCAGCCAGACACGGTGCCTTGGCTGAGACTGGAGTCCGCTGCTTCTGTCTCCCCATAGCTCTCAGACCCCTCCGCTTTATCTTGCCCAGGGCCTGCAACTGCTGGAGTCTTGAGAGTGGTCTTCTGCTTGGATCTTTTAGGAGTTCCACTGCTCGAGCCAGCCATCGCCTTCGCTGTCCTGGGTGAGGATGCCCTCTGTAAAGGGACAGCTGCCACTGTGTTCTGCCTTGGGGGCAGTTTAGGAGATGCTGCCAGAGTATGTATCTTGCTGTGAGATGCAGCTCTGGGAACAGGGATAGAGGAGCCATAATGGCTACGTCCAGCTGCGTTGGCATTGGCTGTTCCATTCATCATCAGGAAAAATCAGCTGGGCATGGACCGATCTGGGAGGAGAGAAAAAATGCAGAGGAAATTAAGAATGGGATATCTGTAGCCAAGCCAGTCTATCCCAAGGATAGGTCAGATTTGCCAAATGCTTAGCCCCTGATCATTCAACACACATTATTTAAACTATTTTCAAATGTCCTTTCCCTAGGAACTAAGAATCCATATAATGCTGTTGTGAATGCCTACAAGCTAGAAGGAGGAATAGTTTAAATGTCAAAAGTTTAAAATTAGGAATGTCTAAAGACTGCAGTGCCTCCCTTTACTTCCTGAATGTAAAAGAAGAATATGCTATGAATTGTTATCTCTGTATATATTTGCAAGTGTTCTGGTTTGAATTTGTAAGCATCTATGATGCTATGTGCATCTTACAGATTTTTCTCCTAATCATATATTTTGTTTCAGCTATTATACCCCAGTTTCAGCACTTTCAGCTAAATAGTTGACAACTTTTTGGTATGGTTTATTAAATATAAGCTGAGCTCACTCAGTCAAATCTAAATCAATGTAAAGTATTAGAAAACAAAAATTTCTGTGAAGAGTGCATTAGTCTACATTTTTACTTGTGTACATGTATGTATTTAACTCCCCCTGCACCTTCATACCTGATCATTAAGTTATAATTATGTAATAGGTTATTTCTGACTTAAGGCAATCCTCCTGGGTTTTCGTGGCATAAAATACTCAGAAGGGATATAACCAGCCCCTTTTTCTGGTGCCACTCTAGGACCAAGCAGCTTACTCAAGGCTGCACACATGGCAGGGCACATAACACTACCAACCACCTATGCTTTGGGTATTCACTCAGGAGGCACACTGGGAGTTAACACTCTTGAATCCTGGCCATTGAGTTCTGCAGCCAGGCACTCCAATCCACTAAGCTATGCAAGATAGTGCTAAAATTACTAAAATCAAGGAGCAAAGGATAGCTTATGCAGGTCCAAAAATACTCAGACATCATAAACTTTTGGTTCCAGAAGAGAAACCTGCCAACCACAACTCCACTGACTGCCAGGGGAAAGTGGTAATTGTGTGTTCAATCCAGGCAATCATGTTTCCACCAGGCATGTTGAAATCAATGGGCCTTTCTTTAGTCACAACCAGGTTCTATCATTGATTTCAATTGGTCGATTATATATAGTGTTTGTTTGTATGTATTTAATGTTACAACAAGATGATGTTGTATCTGCTGAGTAGGCTAATATGGCCAACTACCTCTCTGAAAATTGTCGGGTCTCACAATAGAATTAACACTGATGAGGCTAAGTATGAAGCTTTCATTCAACCCAAGCTTATTTGGAATGGGTGGACCAAGACTAAAACTGCTCAAGCAATATGTTCTAAGCCAGGTCCACATCTTGACCCCCTTCTACTTCATGCTTAGCCTCTTCGTGCTTAGCCTCCTCTATTGTGAGACCCGAAAATTAATTTTCAGAGAGGTGGTTGACCATATTAGCCTACTAGGCAGATACAACATAATCTTGTTGTAACATTAAATACTAAGAAGTTTTATTTAATGTAAACTTTCATGGCCCACTTCATCGGACGATGCAATGATTTGGTATGTAAGGAAGAAAGATGCTTCCACCATCACATTTGACTTGACATGAATGGTTTGTGTACAGAGAACTCAAATGTCATAAAAATAACCCTCCAATTCAAAACTGTAAGTAAGGAAACAAGAAGTTATGACAGAAGACTGTATCCGAAGAGAGACATTATTTATCTTAAGTACCGTGCTGAAGAAATCGCACACTGTTCTAATAAATGGGAAGCATATTAATGAGCCAGTTGCATTGCCTGGTTGAAAAGGATTACAGAACTTTGCATATTTTTAAAGAGCTGGTGTGGTGTAGTGGATAGAATGTGAACTGGGACTCAGGAGATCTTGGTTCAAATCCTGCTTGACCTTGTAAATTAGCTGATAGAGAAGTGATGGCAAACCACTCGTTGAACATCTTGTATACCTTGGAAAAGCTAGAGTCATCATAAGTTAGAAGTAATTTGATGATGGATCACTCTTTCTTTCTCTCGCCCTCTCTCTCTTACACACTCAAAGATGTAGCTTTGCCCAGCATAAGCAAGATGATCCTTCTGGCAATCACACACACACAAAAATGGCTATCATCTCCTCCTTCTCCCCCACCCTCCCCTTCCCTCCTTTCTCTGCTGCATTCCCCCTTCTGGCATTCTGATAAGTGTTAATTAGCCACTATTATAATTACCCACAATGGCTTGGGGAGATATATATGTCCCTGGGGTATTGTGGGAAATTACTACAGCACCTAACCAAATGCTAATCAGAGGAACACCACTGCCACCTCCATCTCTCCTAGCCACCACTTGCTTCTGCTTCCACCTTGGCTTCCAAGCCCTGTCAGATGTCCCAGCTGGAAATATAGAAGAGAGAAAGAACCTGGTACTCCTCCATTGTAACAAAGAGCCTTGTGGTGCAGTGGTCAAACTGCTAGACTGCATCCAAAACTGTGCTCACGACCTGGGGTTCAATCCCAGGTAGCCGGCTCAAGGTTGACTCAGCCTTCTATCCTTCCGAGGTTGGTAAAATGAGTACCCAGCTCGCAGGGGGTGGGGGGCAATGTGTACTTGGTGTCTTTAGCTGACCTGTTCTGATATTACAGATAGGCTTTTGAGGTAGAAATACCCCTCTCATTAGGAGAAAACAGCCAAGCTTGAGTTCACCACGATGGAAAGCTACCCTTGGGATCACTGACAGCTGTAGTACTTAAATTCTAAGGTCCATGAACGGTATTTTAATAAATTAGATGTTCTTAGCCTTGTGGCACAGTGGTTAAACTGAAGTATTTAGTGAAGACTCTTCTCATGACCTGAGTTCAATCCTTGGCTTAGGTAGCTGGCTCGAGTTTGACTCAGCCTTCCATCCTTCCAAAGTTGGTAAAATTAGTACCCAGCTCACGGGGGAGAGGGCAATGTGTAGCCTACATAATTAACTTGTAAACTGTCCAGAGAGTGCTTTAAGTGCTATGGGGTGGTATATAAGCAGCACACTTCACTTTTTCTTTTTGCTTTGAGACCCACTAAAACAGCAGGATCAGTTGAGGGATCTTTCCAAGTGTTCCCCCAAACCTGGAGCCAGTCCTGTACATAAATTTACATAACCCCTCATTTCTAAATTAGCTACTGCTTTTCAGAAGAATATTAAAATCTTTATTAAGTATAACTGCTAAATCAATTTGCAATCAGAAAAGCAGAGAAGCATAAATTGTCAAAATTAAAAGTTGGCATTAAAATAGTTTCCTACAATAGCTACTTTTTCAAAAATGGGAGTGTAAAGTGTTCATATTTCAAGCATAACAGGAAAAAAGTTATTTTACTGATGCGATGAATTCCATTTTCTATTTACTTTCAAAAGTTATTTTAAAAGGTTTATTAATTTATTTAAATTTATTTATTTAAAATATTTCTATCCCACCTTTCTCCCCAAAAGGACCCAAGACATTACAAAGGAATTTTCCAATTTTCCATCTCAAATATGAGATGGAGTGACTCAATAAAACAAGATGCAACCTTTAGTTTACAAAAGCTGATCAGGTCTGTTAATAACAGGATGTTCTAGAAGTAACTAGCAGCAACAAGAAGAACAAGAACAACAACAGGGAGGGATACAAAGCCTTGGAAGATTCTCACTAGGATACACTGACAAATGTCACTGAAAGAGGTCACATGCCAAACACAGGCATGGCATCTCCAACAGGACCTCTCTCTGTCCCCTACAATAGACTTCTCTGCCAATTCACAGATGCACCTCTCTAAGAGAACTGCCATTTTCTTTGAACAAAATATTTCAGGGAAAATATCAGTTTCCAAGCCATAACATAGTAGACATTTCCAAACTTTCTCCTCCAAACTGCTCGGGGTCCCAATTCAAGCCAACAGCTTCAGCCCTGCAAAGGCCTCTCTGCATGACAGAACTTCCTGCATTGCAGCACCTTCTCCTGCAGCTTTTTCTTATCAACTGTGCTGTACTGCAGCCTCAGCACCAGCTGCCCTTGGGAAGAAGAGCGTGAAAACACTTACCCAGACTTTAAACTACACAGCCACCATACTGCTCACATGCTGCTGCTCCTTCTGTGCAAGAATGCAAAATCTTGGACTTCAAATCCTCTTTCTCACCAGATATTTGCTGACCCAAACATCCTTCTCTTACACTCTCTGTTATCCTAAAGCTGGGAGGCAGGCTCTCCAACACTAAGCTAATTTACATTGCTAAGCCTTTCCAGTGATGCAACCTCAGACACCTTTGTTATACTCCCTTCTCAGACTGTCAGGAGTTCCCCAATTATCAAGCTGTTCTTTAGAGAAGAGAAGAGAAAGAAAATATTATTTCCAATATACAGTACGCATCTCCATTATTCCTAACCTTCCCGTCAGCTGCTGCCTTGGCTCTGAACTTACTCCATCTGGAGGGGCAGGAAAAAGAATTGATTCCTCAGAGGAAGTTCCCTCCAGATTGTTTGCTTGTGTGTGTGTGCATTTCATGATACTTCAAGGACACTATTCCCACTGGCTCATTTCCTGTGATACAGCCACCACCTTGCAAAAATAATTCTAAAGAAGAATCATAATCTAAAAGCATAAGGAAAACGCTCATAAATTCTAACCTGCCATATATCTAAGGGATCTTCCAGATGGTGCATTTGTACCTCTGATTTTCACTTCCCTTTATGTTAAAACCTCATGGGGTTTATCAGGGGTCATGTCCTGAAAGTTTGCTCAGATTATCAGCCTGCCTTTTTCTTCGTCTTCCTCCCACAGAGTGCCTCAGCCCAACCCTCACTTGCCAGGAACTCAGGCTTCCCTCCAGGCTTTGCTGCCACAGTGACACCTCTCTTTTGTCTTCCTCCCTTCTCCTCCTGCATTTTCTGTTCTCATTCTCATTCTCATTCTCTCCCACTTCCCTCCCCCAACTTTTCTTGCGAAATTCCATAGTACAAAACCAGCGCCTTACTTTGCTCTTGGA